TCCAGACTTTGATTTGGAGTGGTGGCTAGGTGTAGTCTCTGGACTAGCAGCAATCTCAGGTCACATGCGTAACCTGTGAATCAGCAACTCTAGGGGAAGGAACCACCTCTGTGTTTTAATCAGTCCTCCAGGAGATTCTGATATATACTATTATTTGAGAACCACTGGTTTAGAGCAACAGGGGAAGCAGATGAGACTCACCTAAGATAGGACTAGCCTTAATCACTGGCTTGGAACTGTTGTAGGTAAACTTAATGGGATGGCAAGGGCTGGGCTGGGAGGAGACATAGAGGGGCAAAGATTGGGTAATAGCAGCAAAAAACACAAAAGGAAAGAAGCTGGTTCAAGAGGGATATAACATGATACCAAACATGCCAAATCTAAAAACCATGCAAAATAATTACCATATATTGATAGTGAATACAAATATCTCGAGTAGAAAGCATGCATAAGAAGACAGCATTGTTGGGAAAGATAAATACCTCATTTAGGATAGGGTTACCTCCAGGGGAAAGAAAAGAAGACAGATTTTACTGGGGAGGGCTTTACAGTGCATATCAACTGTACTGGTAGTGTTCCATTACTTAACTTGAATGGTAGATACATGCTTATGGGTGATAGATTCATGCAAGAAGGATGTTTGGGATGAGCTCCCTATTTTGCCTCTCTACCAGCCATGCCCCTACAAAGATATATTCTCTATACCTTGTATAGATCTGAAATATAAATTAATACAAAACAAAATAAATAAAAAGAGGAAAGTGGGAATGGGATTAATCTCTAGACTCTGCTGAAGTGGGGAAATAGGTGAAGTCATATTTGATCAGAGTAGGAGATCAGAAAGAAGGAGAGGGCACAGGAGTTTGAGATTAGCTAGCTTCATTTCTGTATTTAGTGTCACCTCAGGTACTCTCTTGCTAGCACTGATACCTTTGCTCATACTGTAGGAGCATGTCTTAAATTATAACTTATACTAGCATTATTTTTAACTGAAGTAAAATACACATAACAAAAGTAACCATTTTAAAGTAAACATTTCAGTGATGATTAGTGTCTTCACAATTCTATGTAATAACCACCTCTATTTAATTCCAAAATATTTTCACCACCCCCAAATCATGTACCTATTAAGAAGTCACTCTTCATTTTCTGCCAGACCCCAGCCTCTGGCAACCACGAATTTTTTTCCTGCTGTATGAATTTGCCTATTCTGGACATTTCATATAAATAGCATTTGCATCTGACTTGTTCACTTAGCATAATGCTTACAAGGTTCATCTACCTTATAGTATATATCATTATTTCATTCTTTTTATGGCTGAATAATATTCCATTGTATGTACATACTGCACTTTGTTAATCTATACTTGTATTGACGGACATTAAGGTTTTTTCCATCTTTTGGCTATAGTGAATACTGCTGCTTTAATAATTTGCTTACTAGTACTTGTGCAATATTTAAACATGGGTGTATCTATTCCCCCTACCACCCCACCCCCTACACTGGAAACTTCTGAGTGATCGGGACTTTAAAGGGTTTTATTTATCTTCCTCTCCCAAAGCCCTAGACACTGAGTTTTCCACATAGTATTTGTTCAGTTAAACTCTATTAATAAACTAAACTTAGCACATTCAAAACCCCTTTTTATTGTCACCAGTGCTGATATTTTAAAGTGTACTATCATGTAGTATTCCTTATGGCTAGAATTACACAGTGAGACAGAGGCACAGGGCCTCTAACCATCATTACTTAAATTGAAAGGGCAGGCCAATAGATTGTTTTCCATATAGTGTTATTTGAGGGTCTTCAAACTGGTGTTTATGTTTCATAAGTTGTTAATATGGTATTTCTCTTAGACTTAGACAGGAAGGATGTATGTACTGAGTTCCATACTTTAGAGGCCCTACTTTGGCCCTCTAGCAGCCATGACCCTACATATAGGTCCAGGAGACTGTTGAGAACAAGGGTTACTTCCTTTGCTAGGCCATGTTTCAGGTAGCTGGGACCTCTGAATAATTTCAAGTCTGCTGTCAGGTTCTGCATGCTCTTCCTGGAACTGTCCTTGGGAGGTTGACTATCCTATCAGGGTATCTGCTCCCAGACCTAAGGGGTGACTGTATGCCTGGAACAGAGCATGGAGCCTGGTCTTGGAGACAGGCTAGAACCAATGTCAGAGGAGCAGGGATGGGAAAGAGAACCATGGTAAGGAGGCGGGACTTTGGGGAGTCTGAAAATTCAAAAATCCAACCTAAGTCTTCAGGTCATTATTTAGGCACACTTGTTATTTGTAGTATTAGTTTTTTTAAATGTACATTTCTACATTTGTAGTATTAGTTTTTTTTAAACATGGATCCCCAACTGAACTCTTATCTTAATCCAGTTAAATATCTAGTTGGTTAGGCTAAATATCTAATCTAAAACCCTTTTCCTTCCCTCATTCCATGCCATACCTTATTGCCTAAGTATAGTGGCCCCATGTTTCCAAAAATGCTGGTTCCAGGAACCCATCTTGCTGTAAGAGTTAGAACTAGTCCCTGAGCTAGGCTGAAGGACAACCACCAACAATCATGTCCCTTCTACTCATCTAGCTGCACCCCTCCACCCATCTCTCTCTTTGCTCCCCAGCTATTCATACAAAAAACTTCTTCAATAGAAGTCCCTCCCAATACAAGTGCCCACCTGGAGCCACTGGCTTGGTGAGGCACAACTATGTAGAGACCCTTTATGTGTAGCACAAGGTCTTAAGGACACTTTAGTCCTCTGACAAACTTCAGGTCTGAGTTGCCAGGATTCTATTTGATTTCCCTCCCCAAGTCACCAACAGACTGAGACAGACTACCAAATAGGTTTTGTTGAATTTATTTGGTTTGCACATATCAAAAATCAGGAAAGCTAAAAGAAGCTGAAATCTTGCCAAAATGTGCTTTGGGCATTAGTAATTCTTAAACTCTTCATTTTAAAACAGAGCTTTGTTAACAGTGGAAAAGAAATTGTTAATGAAAAGTTCTCAGAGTGAGAGTAACCTAATAGAAGTCCACTCTCAGAAAAGTGGGAAGGAAGATATAACAGCTACTCTTCCAAGATTAGCTGGAAAAAGGGCTTCTACTTTAATAAAGTGTTCACTATGGGGATACAAAGGGAATAAATCAAGTCAACTGAAAATCTAGTATAGCCAAAAAGGCTAAGCTACAATATCAGGAAAAAAAGATATTTTATAGAGAAAATGCAAAATCTAGCATGTATTTGCACAGTGTCACATTATACCACCATCAGCAAAAACCAGCACCAAGTATCTAAATTAGCTCTGGCATCTCATTGCCTCTCTGGACAGTTTTGCACAAAGAAGCACCCCACTCAGAATGTAAAGGCACAGTTAAATTTCTAGGCCTATATTTCTGTTCAAGCAAAGTAGCCCTGGTGACAGAGGATGGTATGGTGATTACTATCCTGAGAAGTTGTTTCTGAGTCTCTAGGGAAATGAGTTATGTTTACTTTGCAGGTATCTAAGGGAGTGCCCCCCAAATGTTTGATAGGCTTGGGGGTGGAACAAAGGGAAAGGACATGGAAAAGACTTAAGTGACTTCTGGTTCACCTGGATGAGGCTCTAGGGTGGCCTGCACCTTGGAAAGTGAGCCAATTGAGAAGCCAATTGGGGGTCAAGGTGCCCACATCTTTACTCCTGAGCCTGGGAGTTTAGTGAAGACCATGCCACCAGGATGGGAAGGGAGCAGTCAAATGTACTAGGCTATTTCCCCCTCCCCTCACTGTGACCAACCCTCTCCTCCTGCTTCTTCCTCTCCCACTCTTGTCTTTTTGCATTTTCTCTTGCAGGTCACTGGGGAGGTTGGGGCTTTCTGACATAGTAACTTGGGAGGTGCCTGTCTCTAGGAATGGAGGGTGGGGAGAGGCTGGTTTCATCATTTGTGGTTTCCTAGAAGCAGAAAGTTCATTTCTCTGTGGCTTTGTCATAGCAATGTTGCTTTGGGCTAAATGCTCATGAAGCAGACTGCTAAGGGGAAGGGATTAAGGCTACATGGAGTTCTCCGTTATAAGACTGGAGTCAGAGGAGACAGGAGCCCTCTAGTGGCCCCATACATGCATCAAGGTAGTGAGGTGGTGAGTTCACCACGTGCCTGATGGAAACAGCAGCTTTTGGCATCTGTAGAACATTGAATTTTGACAAGGACTTGGTGCTTAAGCACTAGGATATTATAATAGGAGGAACATTGACATTTCTGGGCAACTGGAGAAGGTCCCAGAAGCCAAAAACCGATGAACTAACCATCTAGAGAAGTAGGATAACTTCCAAGAAGCATTCTGCTCATAGAGATGGGTACACATCTGCCAGGGCTGCCACATATTGAGATGGGGCCTGTGCTCTGTGTTACTGTCACCCAAGTTGAAAGATTGATAAGTGCTGTGTTACTATCACCCAAGTTGAAAGCACTGGAGGCCCCCAGGGACATGTAGAAGGTGTTTCAAGGGGTAATGGGTTGATTAGAAGACTGGCCTTTGCAAAATTTTTCTTGGAGATGCAAAATTTTCACTTCCACCAACCAAGTAATTCAGCATTTATGTAGGCTCATAAAACCTAAAAACCAATCCCTGGGCCAAATCATCTCAATATTTATTTCCATTAGGATTACTTTATTTGGTTGAGGAAAACAACCATCTTTTAATTGCTCTAAAAAAGTGTTTATATTTTCTTCCTTTGAAGGCATATTCTCCAAAGTTAAATATTTCACAATTCTACAGCAGTGCAAAGATTTTTCCATAGTTTTATAGAGGAAATGCTGGGTTTCTAGATGCTGGCAGTGACTTACTGAAAGTTAGGCATTAATGGCATTTATTTCATTCAAAGAGTTAAAAGTTTCAATTCCCATTTCTAAGGCTCTTTTGCTTAATAAAAAATTGTCATAGTAAAGAAATCACTACACAGAATTACTACAGCTATTTGGCAATTATCATTTAAAATGCTGATGCTCCACCCAGGAGCTATTTATTGCATGATCTCTGCTATGTGGCTCCATGCTTTGGCTTTCTTCTTGGCCATAGAGAACCAAACAGGCTCATCTGGCTCCACAGGCACAACATGCTCCAGTGGCTGTTCGGGCCCAGCTGGAAGACTTGAAGATCGTTTAGTTTCTTTATCTATCGCAGACATGCGAAGTGTCTTCTGATCTTCAAAAGCAACTGGAACCACAGCAAACAAATCACAACCAGTAAGAAGTCCCAGAGATGTTTGGTGTATTTTTATAACATGAAATAAAATGTTTCATGTTTTCAGATTTCCCCTGAGTCCCTTTCTCTTAGTACTTTCCACCTCTTGCCCCCTTCGATGTCAAGCTTCTAAAAGTCAGTGCCATGACTTTGGAATGTCAAAGGAGTAAAATCAACATGTGGCCATAAGGGCTTGGCCATAGGAAGTCTTGAGAAGTAATTACTATGTTGTACTGCCAATCTTTGGGTAGTTATTATTGGCTTGTCTTACACTTTTGAACTGAGATCAGAAGGTAAACATATCTGATCGATTCTTTTAAAATTTCAAATCAGGTAGTGATTTTTGTTTTTGTTTTTGTTTTTTTGCCAATCCACAATGTAGTATGAAATTAAATCACTGGTGACTCAATAGCTCCATCCAATAAAAGTCAATATTAAACAATAGTGTAGCAACCACCCCATCCTGGCCAAGCACACTACCTTCCTATTTTCCAGTTCCACATCCTCCCTCATCCTGCTCTATGACTGATTGACTCAGTGACTTAGACTCAACCAGTATTTCTCAATCTTGAATGCACATTAGAATCTCTATGGCTCTTTTAAAAAATACCAGTGCCCATGTATTGTCTGAACCAACCTCATTAGATAAGCCAGGGCCATCTAATTTTTTTTTTTAAAACTCACCAGGTGATTCTAATGCTCAGGGAGAGTTGAGAATGACTTGACAGCAGTGTAGTGCCCATGAAGCAATGAACAGGTCAACTGTTGCTATTTCATAGCTAAAATAATGGGTTCCTGAATTCCTAGTCTAATTTCTTCATGAAGGGGATTAAGGGAGAAGGCAAAGATGGCATCATTTAAATCCATCCTCCCCTCATCCTACTCGTGCTGGGAAAATCCTTCTGGCACACAACTCTTACTGATGAGATCACATTATTTTATCACATCACAGTGGTCTTTCAGTAGTTAAAATTTCCCCACTTCTCACATCCCTGCTCAGAATACAGAGGGATTAAACAGTTAAAAATGGTTCCATACCATTAGGCCTTCATAGTGGATTATTTTCAACAATTTCATGGGGGATATAGCAGGTGGAAAAACATCACTGTGCCATGAGCTGGAAAATGACTTGGTATTTTTCTCTTGCATAACTTAGCCGCAAGAATGTTTTAGTGAGTGACAACAGTTTTGTGCCTCCACAGCTTCCTCAGTAAGATGAAAGGCTGGAGGAGCTTCTGAAAGTTATACACTGGACTTAATGTTAGTCATAAGAAATGAATTTTCCTAAAGTAAGCAAATATCTGTTATCTTCTTATAGAATAGTCATGAGAGTGATTTGGGGAATAAAAGACATGTTAACTGAGCTTGCAATTGCAGAAATTTCACAACATTCTTCCAGAGCAGGTTTTTGTGAGATCAAGGGATGTGCTTTTACCTGATTTGGCAGGCTTAGGTGGCTTCGTTGGTGGCATCTTCTCCTGTATATGGACAGTAGAAGTCAAAATCTTTTTTACTTGGCTTTCATTTGCAGAGCCAGCTCCCTTTAATATAAAAATGAAAACAGAAAGCTTGTAAATCCTGACCAACACCCCCCTCAGCAAATTGCTTATTCAGAAAATCATATGGGGCAATGTATTTTTTGGGGGGGTAGGGGAACCAGGGATTAAACCAAGGGATGCTTAACCTTGACCACTGAGCCACATCCTCAGCCCTTTTTATGTTTTATTTAGAGACAGGATCTCACTAAGTTGCTTAGGGTCCTGCTAAATTGTTGAGGCTGGCTTTGAACTTGCAATCCTCCTGCCTCAACCTCCCAAGTTGGTGGGATTACAGGAGTGCACCACTGAACGTAGCCATATAGGGCAAGTTCTATCCTGGGCACTACAAGTACCCCCCAGGGGGTTGGAGAGAGAGATCGACCATATAATATATCTATATAGACATATAAGAAAAGAAATAGCACTGAACCTTTGGTTTAGAATGTATGTTGACAAAACCTAAGCTGGCTCATGTTTACCACCTTTCAGACCTGGAAGAAAAGGTGGTCTGATTATACAAATAGTGTAAACAGAATAACATGATAATTATTTAGCTTGAGAACAACCTTTTCCCCAGCACTTAACAGCAAGCTAGCAGAATGTGATGGCTATAATGAATCTGATCATTCATTAATTCATTGAAGTGAGTTCCATAGGATTTCTACTTTGCAAAACTTTCTGACATGACTAGAACATTCTTGCATTAGAAAGTGTTGGGGTAAGTCTTTTCTAAATTTTCAAATTAACCTCTCCACAATTGGCACACTTTAATGACTTTATACATACTAGGATATTTCCCCCTGACAAAACCTTTCACCAAGGTGGACTTAACTTTTGTATGGTACTCCTCCCATATAAACACAAATGATAAGAAAATATTTTTAAGCAAAAAATTAGTTTTTCACATGATCCTTCAACAACTTTAGTAAGCCCTTAAATGCATAAGAATTGCTGGTGCACACCTATAATATCAGTGACTCTGGAGGCTGAGGCAAGAGAATCGAAAATTTAAGGCCAGCCTCAGTGACTTAGTGAGAGCCAGTCTGAAATTTTTAAACTGAAAATAAAAAGGGCTGGGAATGTAGCTCAGTGGTAAAGTGCCTCTGGGTTCAATTTCCCAGAAAAAAATGCATAGGACTTTAGATATATTTTGATATGTTAATTTGATATGATTTCTTGAGACAGCTTTGAGCAATTTTTATAAGGGAGGAAGGCATCATTCTATCATCCTTGATCCACATGTAGTACCATTAACCTAGTTCATTGCGTAATATTTTTTGAGCTTCATGTAAGTACCACACAAAACCAAATTAACACCTATAAATCCAAATGTTGAACACATTAAGGTGAATTGTTATCTACTGATATGGAAAGGTGCCCAGAAATGAAATGCTCAAGAAAAAGTAGACAGTAGGCTGGGGTTGTAGTTCAGTGGTAGAGTGCTTGGTTTGCATGCATGAGGCACTGGGTTCAGTCCTCAGCAACATATAAAAATAAATAAATAATATAAAGATATTGTGTCTATCTACAACTAAAAAAAATATTTTATAAAAAAATAGTAAAGTAATCCCCCTTTATCCATGGCTTCACTTTCTATAGTTATAGTTACCTGTGGTCAACTGCAGTCCAAAAATATTAAATGGAAATTTTCAGAAATTTACAAATTTTAAATTGCTTGCTTTTTTTCAGTAACATGATAAAGATTCGGGTCATCTCACTCCTACTGGGATGTACACTATCCCCTTACCTGGCTTATCTACTCTGTATATGTTATCTGACTGTTAGTCACTCAGTACCCATTTTTTTAAACTTATTTTTTAGTTGTAGATGGATACAATACCTTTATTTTATTTATTTATTTATATGTGGTGCTGAGCATCAAACCCAGTGCCTCACATGTGCTAGGCAAGTGCTCTACCACTGAGCCACAACCCCAGCCCCTCAGCAGTAATCTTAATTATCAGATGAACTGTCAGGATATCACAGTGCTTGTGTTCAAGAAATCCTTATTTTACCTAATAATGGCCCCAACTTGCAAAGAGTAATGATGCTGGCAATTCAGATATACCAAGGAGAAATTGAAAAATGCTTTCTTTAAGTGAACAGGCAAAAATTCTTGACTTAATAAGGAAATAAAAAATCATGCACTGAGGTTGCTTAGATCTATGGTAAGGATTCAACTTCTATCTGTGAAATTGTGAAGAAGAAATAAGAAATACATGCTATTTTTGATGTTGCTCCTCAAACTTCAAATATTAGGGCCACAGTGCATGAACAGTGCTTAGTTAAGATGAAAAAGGCACTAAATTATGGGGCTCAGTACTATATATGGTTTCAGGTATCTACCAGGGATCTTGTATCCCTGTATAACTATAAATACACTAGTCCCCCCCCCAGTTAAGGGGGGACTAGTGTATTTATAGTTTGATTCCCATTTATAAAAATACACATATGTATTTATAAGCATAAAATATGTGTAAAGATAGACACTCAACTTTTACCCCAGTGGTTACCTTCATGGGTTTTTTTGTTGTTGTTGTTTTATCTATTTACACTTATTTCTCAACCAATTTCATGGAATCCTGCTCTAGAATATTTAGGACAGGATTTGATTTATTCATTACTTTTGGCAAACCCTTTAAGAGCATCAAGTAGGTCACATTTGTACAAGTATTTTCCCCTGCAGAGTCCTCCTGTCTTGATAAATGCTCCCAAAGGGAGGGGGCCTGAATATCTGACAAAGTTCTCAGTGCAAACGTAATCAATGACTCCAGAAACCCTTTTGGGGTGTTTTCTGAGCTGCTTCACATCCTACCCCATATTTAGGATCCTTGGTCTCATCGTTGGCTCCAGTTCTACTTGTGGGTTTTAGCTCTTTTTTAGGAACATAGGCCTGGGAGCCTCTCTGTCTCTGCTTTGTCATGGTTATCCAAACTGCCTCTGCGATGGCACAGTCTGACTGGTGACAAGAAGACTTTCCTGAGAAAGAAATGAAAGGTATTAGAACTGAAGCAAGGCAGGCACAATAATGTTCCAAGTGGGATTCGTGTTAATTACCAAATGAAATTAAACAGATGTCAAGTAGAAAAGGATTCCTTTCTTTTGTGCCCTCCATATAACCCGGCAAGGCAGGAGTCCCTTGGGTAGTTAAGAAGCTGTTCTTAAAAGTGAGCATACTGTCCCCTTACTGGATCCTTTCCTTCTTTTGTCCATCTCTCTTCTCATCCCCAAATTGGGGCAGGACAATGGTCGTCAGGTGGGCTGGGAAAATTCCTAAGAGGACATAGGCTTGGGTCATTGATATCATCCCTCCAACTCCAAAGAAAATCTTTGAATTTCCTGCTTGATAGTCCCTCATGCAAGTGTGTGATTACATAGGTATGTATATACCAGACTATGTGTGGGTTGGAATGATGGTAGAAAGGTTTGGGGAGAGACTTGTGCTTACAAGATCATCTAGCTCTGGATTCTTAGACATTTCAGGTAAAGGAAGAAGCTGTGTAAATACAAATATTTACAGTAAACTACAATTTCAGGCTGAGAGTCTGAACATCATGCTATTCTTGAATTGGCTCTGAACAATGTACATGGTGGTTTGGAGGGGTATAATACATGTAAAAGTATTTTGAGAAAAGTTATAAGTCCATCCAAAAGTATGGTGTACAGAGGGTGGGGAGAGGGAGTGAGGAGGTGATCATGTGTCTATTATAAATGTGGGTAGATATCCAGACCAGTGCCCCCTTGGGAAGGGGAAGAGTCAAAATGAACTACCTCCAAGTCTATTCATCTAGACTGAGGCATTCCCCTACTCCTATATCCACAACACAGCCCTAGCAAAACAATAACCTAATAGGCAAGGCTAGAACAGACTTCAGACTCATTCAAGGCTTTGCTTTCCCATTCTTTCCTCCACATGGTACCTACTTGCCATCTGGAGAGATAAAAGTCTCACCTGGGGGTATGTAAACTGGTGGCCTCTTGAGCATGCTTTCCAATTTATTCCTGTTCTGTTGCTTCTCCGCAAAGTTAGCTATATCACTGAGGTCTTCTGGGGTACTCAGGAACACTTGGGGATTGCTTCTTCTCATGCGCTGTTCCTTGCCCACAGAGTGTGCAATTGGGCCCAAGGGCACTGAAGAAAATGGTGCCAAATTATCTCGTTTCTCATTCTTAAGTTTCTGTGGAGAAGGGATTCTTCTCAGTCGGACTCCAAAAAGGTTTTCCACCTCAGCTTCACTGCTGGGTATGCTGGTATGGCCATCATTATGTCCAGTACCACTCTGAAGAACTTCCTCCTTAATGTAAGCACTCCCAGAAATGGGTGTTTTCCCAGGAAGAGTAATGTTGAACTTCCCAGGTTTGTTAGCAGAGACTGGGATGCTCTTAATGAAGTCTTCTGAAACTTGGCTGAATTTCTTGGTTTTCTTTGGAGAAACAGGGCATTTTGATAAGGACCAATTGCCTGGATTGTTCTCAAAAATGGTTCCCTCACCAGCAACATTTGTGGAACTTGAGTGGGTCTGTTGCTGGTATCCAGGATTTCCATATGCCTGGAAAGGATTAACAGGAAAGGAGGCCTCTGCAGAACTGCTCCAATCTACAGGAACATTCCCTGAGCCTGGTGATAAAATTGGTGACTTCTCAGATCCATCCAAAGTTTGGGAAGGGTGTCTGGAAGGCATATGCTCTTCAGAGATCCTCCACTCTTCTGGGGAGTCATCAGAAACTGAGGAGACTTCCTGCTGGTACTCAAACTTCCCCAGGACCTGGGAAAACTGTCTGGTAGGTCCCTGCCCTTTAGAACTGCTCCACTTGCTAGGGACATTCTCTGAATATGAGAGAGCATCTTGTGGGCCTTCAGGCCTCCCCATTGACTGTAAAGGGTGCTTCATAGGCAGCTTCTTCAAAGAAGTGCCTCCCTCAATGTCAGCATTCTCCCAATCTGAGAAAACGTGGTGTTCCATTTTAGGCCTCAGCAAAGATTTGAAAGGATGACTTAGCGAGAGAGGATCTGCATACATGCCCCCATGAATAGAAGCACTCTCTGAGAAGATCTGCTGTGCCATAAACTTCACAAATGACTGGGAAGGACTGGGAAGCAGTGGTTTCTTAGAAAAATCTTCTTCACCAGCAGGATTCTCTAGACGTGAGGACATTTCCTGAACTTTAGACCTCACTGAGAACTGGGTCGGATACTCAGGAGGCAATGCCCTCCCGGAATTACCTTCCTCAACAGTAGCATTCTCAAAACTTGGGGACCCTTTCTGGACTATGTGCTTCATAACAGAACGGGAATGAGGGTTGGAAAGCAGCATCTCTCTAGTACTGCCTCCCTCAATGGTAACACTTTCTGGACTTGTAGAGGCTTGTTGCTCAATTTGAGGGTTCCCCCATGGCTGGTAAGTATATCTGGGAGGTATTGGACAGCTCCGTTCTATAGAAGTGCTCACTGAACCTGAGGAGATTTCTTGTTTGACTGCTGGTCTCTTCTGGGATTGTAAGTGATGTCCAGGAGGTCTCAATTCCATTGAACCGCTCCCTTCAGCTGCAGAGTTCTCTGGACCTGCAGAGGTTTGTTGCTCAAGTTTAGAGCTCACCCATGACTGGAAAGGGTTTCTTGGCATTGGCTCCAGAGAACCACTCCATTGTGCAGAAGCACTTGCTGAACCCATGGAGACTGGTTGCTTCATTACTGGTCTCATCGGGGGCTGAGGAGATATTTTGGGAATTGGTGGAGCTTTAGGGATGCCCCACTGGGTACCAGAGCTCTCTGAATTTGCAGAGGCTGGCTTAAATGCAGAGAACAGCCACGACTGCAAAGGGTGTCTGGGAGACACTGACTCTGTAGAAACGTTCCCTTCAACCTGAGGGTTCTCTGCACCTGCAGAGACATTTTCCTGAAATGTAGGGTTCATCCATGGTTGGAAGGGGTGTCTGGCAGACACTGGCTCCTCAGGATTGGCCCATTGTGAAGAAATGTTCACTGAGTCTACAGTCATTTGTGGGTGGAAATGAGGCCTCATCAAATGTTTTCCAGGGGGCAGGTCCATGAATATGCCCTTTTCAACAGCAGTGTCTTCTGAGAACATTTGCTGGACTTGAGGATTTGTTATGGATTGGGGAGAATACTTGGGGTACAGTGGTTCCACAGAAGTAATACCTTCTGAACCCGAGAACATGTTTTGTTGAACTTTAGGGTTTATCAAGGGCTTGGAACGAAGTATAGTAGGCCCTTCAACAGCTTTGCTCTCTGGAAATGAGGAAGTTTGCTGCCCCACTGGAGGGTTCAGCCATGTCTGGAAAGGGTGTGTGGGAGGCCTTAGATCCACAGAAATGCTCCCCTCCACAGCAGTACTCCTTGGACTTGCAGAGACCTGTTGTTGGATTAGGGGTCTCCTCATGGACTGAGAATGAAGTTTTGGAGGCAGTGTCTCCATAGAAACCTCTCCCACAACTGCAGCACTGTCTGCACCCAAAGATAATTGTTTCTCAACTTTTGGTCTCACTGAGGGTTGGGAAGAACACCTGGGAAGCACCTCCATAGAAATAACTTCTTCCCTAGTTGTAACATCTGAATGTAAGGAGAGTTTTTGCTCAACTAGAGACCTCTTTAGTCGCTTAGAAGCCATTCTGGGAGGCAGTGGATCCATAAAAATGCCCCACTCAACTGCACTGTTCTCTGGACCTGTGGGACCTTTTGGCCCAAATTTAGGGCTCACCCATGGCTGGAAAGGACAGCTGGGAGATACTGGCTCCAAAGAACTGTTATATCCTGCAGAAAGGCTCACTGAACTTGAGAACACTTGTTGCTGAACTATCTGAGGAGGGTGCCTGGGGGGCATCTGTTTGACCGAAACTCTCCACTCTTTAGGAGTGTTCTTTGAAACTGAGGACACTTCTCTTTGGTCTTGAGGCTTCCCCAAGGCCTGGTCAGAGTTTCTGAGAGATACATCTTCCTCCAAGCTGCTCCAATCATCAGCACTGTTGCATTTTTCGGCATAACTATTTGATTCTGTGGAGAATTCTGTATCTTCAGGTTCCTGTAAAACCAGCTTCTCCTGAGACCTGGAGGCGGCAGCAAATCTTTTTGATTCTGAGAAGACTGCTTCAAGCTTCCGCAAGGATCGGGAGAAGCGAATGGCGGCCATTTCCTCAGGATCTCTCCCCTCCTCAAGAATACTATCTGATTCTGAGGAGGCATCTTCAGGTTGAGGCTTTCCCAAGAACTTGTGAGAATATTCAGGACCCTGATTCTGTTCCAAACCGCTCATTTCAACAAAACTTTCAGATTCTGGGAAGCCTTCTTGTTCACCTTCAAGCTTCTGTGGGGACTGGAAGGAATGTTCAGGAGCCCGCTGATCCTGAACACTCCCCTCCTCTGAAGCACTATTTGAATCTGAGGACACTTCTTCATCTTCAGGCTTCTCCAAAGACTGGGAAAGGCTTCTGGGAGATAGCCTCTCTGTAGAAAGGCTTCCCTCTGCTACTGTACTTGCCACACCTGGAATAATGACTGTAAAGCCCTGGAGAATATTTCCAGGAGACTTTTCTTTGCAGATAGTTGGAACACCCTGGGCTAACTCCATTTTGGACTGGGAATTTTGCAAACCATGGCTGGAAGCTTCTTCTTCCCCTGACTGGACATGTGAAGAATCCCTAAGCACCTGAGCCTCTACTGCCACTGAAAGAATGTCCTCTTCTTGGGCTTTAGAAAGTCTTCCTACCATTGGTAAAAGAGAAGCTCTGCCATCTTGCTTCTTGGCTCCACAGGCCCCATTTTCATGGTAGAGTGGTGGACCACTCACCATGGATTCTACCATGTCTTTAGGTATGGGTTGTGGTGCTGATGCTTTTTTGGCTTTAACTTCTAGGCCAACATTCTTCTTTACCAAGTCACCTTTATCTGAAAGCAACTCCTGAGAAGTAGTACTTTCTGCCTGTGGAGTTGTGAACTGCTCCATGGTTTGCTTCTCAAAGGTTAAGTGCCGGAAAGGGCAATCACTGGCAGTCTTCTCCAAATGTGAATAATCATATCTATCACCCAGGATATGCAGTTGACAAGATGGTAGAAGGCATCTTCCTCTGCGCCCATACTCATTTGTTCCCGAAATACTTGAACCTTTCCTTCTACGTCTTCTTCCATATGCTGCCAACATTGGGTAGCCCATGCTCCCAGTAGGATCTGTGTTTGAAGCCTGTTCGGCTATCTTCTGATCATAAATCTCAGTTTTGTTGCTCGGGTCCTGGTTCAAGGTACCTGCACCAAATAGAAATTAGGAAAGGAGAAATGTGTATGCTTTAGACTTCCTAAAACAGGAAATGCTCTGTCCTAGCCCAGTTGGTACCTATTTGCTACTTAATTTGCTAGCATGAAGAAGCACTGTTCAAAAGACAAAGAATAAATGGGTCACAATTAACTTTCTGTGGTTGAAAATGGTTTCAATCAAAGGGAAATTTCAATCACATGGACTGATTCCAGGGTTAGCTCATCATCATTTAATAATAGTCTGGTCCACCATTAGGTGCACATAAAAAGAGGCAAATTTTGAACTTGTAATAATGATTATCTTTGAAGAAACTGACGGGGGTAGGGAGAAGGAAAATTTTACTTTCTCTTTAGTATTTTTATTTTCTAATCTTTATCTGAACTGCTTGAAATTCCAAATTATGTCCATTTATGTTTTATTTGTTTTAGAAAGGTATCATCAGAAATTATCTGAGAGGTAAGAATTTTGCCCAGTTTTCTTCTATTTTCTCCTTTCTTATGTTAAAATAATTCTATGTACTATACATGCACAGCAAATGTTTGAATAAGTGAAAAGCAATACTTGCAACATTTTAATAATTCAATTGGTCCACAGGCTTCAAGTTAAACACAAGGTAGCAGTTATACAAATTGCTCCTCTCCTTTCTTAAGGAATTCCTTTTTCTAAGAAACTCGGTTTGATCCCCTGGTGGCAGGGCCCCTTGCTGCCTATCCTTCCTCATAATCCACTGCTTCCCTAGTTCGATCTTGTGGTTTTTTATGCAGCATACTGCATTGAAAATAGCAGGTTATGCTCCAAAACACTTCTATCACATGGAACACCAAACAAAATGTCTGCCCCTGTGGGTATTGACTCAGTTCTGTCCTCCTTTTGTAAAAAATCTGAAAAAAAAATTACTTCCTTCTCTCAGATCTCCCTTCCTCCCTCTATCCATTTCTTCCTTTCTGGATTGATCTTGTGGTTTTGTTTGTTTTCATGGGAAAATATGATTGAGGATATGCTGTCTTTGAACCCATGTGTGAATTTTTTTGTAGCAAAAACATTAAATAACTCTTCAACATAATTTGTGGAACAGGAATTTTGTTTTATCAAATATTGCTTGAAATTAGCTGGCCATTAGCTGGAGCCAATATCCACATTCACATACCCATGAACACACAGAGAGTTTTACTCTGGAGGTATCTATTGGTTGGGAATTTGACAGGTCTTGACTGCCAAGGACATCTGCCTGAAGCTGTACAAGCCCTCTTTGTTCATGGATATGGGAACTGCTTTTGCTATTAACACAAAACCTTTTCTCTGTACTGAAAGGGAAAGGCAACTAAAAAAAAATTATTTCAGGCCAATTCTGGGGATTTTTTTTTGTTGTTGTTTTTCTTTTTCTTTCTTTCTTTTTTTGTACCAGGGATTGAACCCAGAGGCACTTAACCACTGGGCCACATCCCCAGCCCTTTTTAAAAAAAAAAAAATATTTTATTTTTTATTTGTAGATGGACATAATATCTTCATTTTATTTCTATGTGGTGCTGAGGATCGAACCCAGTGCCTCACACATGCTAGGCAAGCACTCTACCACTGAGCCCTTTTTTGTGTTTTATTTAGAGACAGGTTCTCACTGAGTTGCTTAGGGCCTCATTAAGTTGTTGAGGCTGGCTTTGAACCTGCGATCCTCCTGCCACTGGGATTACAGGCGTGCACCACTGTGCCTGACCAATTCTGTTATTTTTATCTGGTTCTATTGTTGAAGGGGAAAGCAGAAGGGTAATCACTAGCTGTATTCACTGTACTCTACTCTGATATCTGGGCTCATTGAAGAGCTCCACATATACATTAACCTCAGAGAAAATTAAACAAATTTACACACAAAGCACTTCCCTGGTTGGAAATTCATTTAGATAAAATGAGAACCCAGATATGATCCTTTACCTAATCCCATACAAGTGGCAGCTGTATTAATTTGACAGTTTATATGGAGAAAACTGGACCACATTAGAACACATTTTAAACTGGAAGCTCTCTGAGGACCAAGGGCACAGACTCTGGTAATTCTTGTTCATAACTCATGTCACACTGAACTGTGCAATGAAGTCTAGGATACATGTTTCTGGGTGAGGGTGAAGATGAACCAACCTGTACCATCTTTATTCAGCTTCTTTTGATCAATTTCTTTTGGGTTATTTGTACTCTTTTCTCCTTCAGAAATCAGTGAAAGGCTTGTCTCGTCCTGCTTTGGTTTCATCTAAAACATGGAAAGAAAAATATCAAATCTGATTGACATGCTCTATACCCTTGTATGATTACTAAAAAAAAAATCAGGAAAAAGGTCATTGATGCTAGGTTTATAACAGTACCAGTAAAGAAAGAAGTTATTTCTTTATTTAATGACTTTATTTTACTTATTTATTCTGTGTGGTGCTGAGGATCGAACCCAGTGCCTCACACGTGGGAAGCAGGCGCTCCACCACTAAACTACAATCTCAGCCCCGATGGAAGTTAGTTCTAATGACACTCATCAAGAGTTCCCTAGGGATGATTTTACCTATTGAAAGTGAGTGATCCGGATCTGAGGTTCCCAGACTCTAAGTGACATGCTGTAGGAATCTACTGTACCACATTGGAAGGACATAAATTTGAAAATGGAGTTGTTGGACCTTACAACAATCATGCCTTTGGCAACATTGGAGTTCTCAGATTTGCTCACTGGACCATGAACCAAATTCAAATCCTGTTTGGCTCTTCTTTGGGAAATTTAATGAAACCATGAATGATGTCTTTCCAGCTCAAAAGAAGAAAGAAGAACAGGGTTTGTTAAGAGGGAAGACAGAAATAGATGAAGAATTCAGTCCTTACACTGAATGGGTTGCAATTAGTTTAGTATAAACAAGGTTTGTAGAGAATTATAGTAGAGTTCTAGAAATGCCAGGATAGCATCAAAGAGAACAGTGTTCAGACATTGCTTAGAATAAACCATTTATGGCAAGCAACTAAAGGCAGAAATACAACTTTTTATCTTCTCATTCATATTTCCTGAGCTCAAAATAATTTATTGTTGAGTAAATGAGATCAGACAGACCTGGGTTCAAATCTCTTCTCCATCATTTACTTGCTGTGTGACCCTGGGCACATTGTTCTATATATCTCCATGTCCACATCTATAAATTAAGAATTAGGACCCCTTATTTCTGAGCAGAGAGAAAGAGGTGGCAGCCCCTGTATCATAAATGATCCTGGAACTTTTTATATTCATTTATGTGTCAGGGAGAGAGTCACAGAGATGAGGCAGATGTCCCAGCTTTCTCTGAAAGCGATGCCCAGACCTTTTCTATGCAGAATGAAGAATGTCAGAAGGGTAACACCAAGGTTCCCTTAGCCAATATTCCCTGACTGCCAAGTCTGTGGTGAGGTGTCCAGGGGGATAACATAAGCATAGGGTTTAAAATTGGTCATCCCTTGCTTGACACCAAACCAAGGAGATTGTCTCTACTGCTACCAGAGGTTCTCCCTTGACCCCACACACCTCCAACTGTTCTTTCAAGTCATATTTTGTTTACTTTCTAAAGCAAAGTTGAAATGTCTAAGCAGAGGCAACATTTGGGGTAAAAAAAAAATCCTGGGCTAGAATTCAGAAAATTGGATTCTGGCTCTGGCTCTATTATCACCTGGGTGTCCACCTTTGGGCCAGTACCTGAACTATTTGTGTTATAATGTCCTTCCCTGTGAAATTCTTGCTCTACACAGTCATTTAGTCTTCCAGTTCTGATTTTATAGCCTCTTACGTTTAATCCAGAATCGCAGAAGAACTGGGTATTTGATCAAAGTGAATCTTCCACCCAGCATTGTTAAACACCAACATCTTTAAATTCTTAATTTTGTGGAAAATTTTTTCCAAAACATTCCCAATTTTCTTAAACAGGGATCAAGGAACACAATATAACTCTTCTTGATTACCCAGACAAATAACACAAATGATCTATTACATTGGACTATGATAGAGTATATCCCTGAGAGGGAGATTGAAGTAGGAAAGATTCTTTTTTTGTGTGTGTGTGGCGGGGGTGGGAAACCAGGGATTGAACTCAGGGGCACTCGACCACTGAGCCACATCTCCAGCCCTATTTTGTATTTTATTTAGAGTCAGGGTCTCACTGAGTTGCTTAGTGCCTCCTGTTGGCAAGGCTGGCTTTGAACTCGCAATCCTCCTGCTTCAGTCTCCTGAGACGCTGGGATTACAGGTGTGCGCCACTGCGCCCGGCAGGAAAGGTTCTTGATCCCTTATACTAAATGATCTCATATTATTTCTGTCATCTCTTTCTGCCATGAGCTGGCATTTCCCTTTGCTCTCAGATCTGAGTCTGATATGCAGCCATGATTTTATTGTCGTCGTTGTTGTTCTGTTTTGTTTTTGTGATGCTGGGAATGGAACCCAGGGCCTTATACATGCTAGGCAAACATTCCACCACTAAGCTATACCCAAAGTCTATTTTTTTGTGTGGTCATGTTTTTAACACTAGTTTGCCTAAGTACAGCTCTGTTGCTAGAAAGTTGTGTGGCCAAACTCTGTGATAACTCTGCAGAGGTCTTTAGCAGGGTTAACAGCACTGTTCTTCATACTTGGAGTTGCTCGAGCCTGACTTCCATACAAGTGGAACAGCACTATAATTTTTAACTCTCAAATGGGTCTCATTTAATTAATAAGTAAAAAAAATCCTGATCTGGACTAGGGTTGAATATCCTCTACCAAGCAGACTGAGTGACCTCCCAGATGCTAAGCCAATAAGCAGGTTCTAGGGCTTACATCCCTGCTTCTGCTTTTTCAGGCCCTCTTATATAAGATCCAAATGGTCAGGACCCACCATCCAACAGACACAAGCTTGCTCATCCCTCTGGAGGGTCAAGGCCAGGACAGCACTCTTGACTTTGCCATCCCAACACCATACCATTCCTGGGGGCAGTCTGCAAAGATGGAACTCATCTTTTCTTATGCAGGAGTTTATTCCCAGGTCTCTTGGAGGACTTACACTCGCTTGAAGGCTCTTCTTCTTTTTTTGTTTCCTGGGATTTAAAGCCATTTTGTGTCGAGCAGCTGAAGAATCCAGGCAGCCCTGGGTGGTGGCTGGGATGCTAAAGCCAACAGGCTGCTGGGTAACATTGGAAGAAGCACATGCAGTTGAGGACTGTGAGAGACCGGTTCCAGTTGATGCTTCAGAGTAGTTCTGGAAAGCGTGGGAGAAAATAAATGAGTCAACTTATATGTCGCCACTCGTCTCAAAGTTGGAAATTCTGGCTGAAGAATTCCTCAATTCCTGGCTGAAGAAATTCTCCTTGAACTACTTTCCCTTTTTCTTCCACTTCTGGTCAATAAAGTTCCACAGTTCCACTGGTCACCTTATAGATGAAAGCAAGAAACAGGAAGCAGTTTGGGTTGTTCCCCTGCTTAGAAAGCATTCAGGGGTGCCCCATTGCGCTCAGGAGAGGAACACAAGCACTTAATGGATTTTACAAGATTGGAGGGTTTACATGTTTTCTTGTCTCATATCCCCTGCTTAGGGACAGGAGGACATTTGGCTGGGGTGAGAGGTACAACCTGTCAGTGAAACCCAGCAGGGCTCTGGGAGCTTATATTGGCTGGCTGGGTGGTGCAAAGAAAATTAGATTGGAAGAGGGCCTGCCTGCAAGTTATATTTTCATAGAGACCGTAAGACCTTTATTTATATTTATGGCTCATGGAAGCAAGGTTGATCTGAGGACCCTAAGGAACTGAGGGCTCCCACCTCTAATGGGGTAGAGATGGAGCTTGTAACCTTGTCACATTATGGCTAGTCTCCATCTCTCTAAACTATTTGGTTCTGGCACACCTAGATAGTTTCCCTGGTAGGAACTTTACATACTCTCCTCTGGGCTTTTGGATAATATTTTCCCTGCCTCCAAGAGATCCCAAGATCTCCTTCCATTCCTAATAAGCTTCAGATTTCTGTGTTTACAGATACCCCTTTGAAGATCACATGATAAGCTGTCTCTACCCTGGACAAGAATAACAAGTGATATAATTTAGCAGGTAGACAGAAATTTATTTTTTTTGTTTTTTTGGTACCAGGGATTGAACCCAGAGGCGCTTAACCACTTGAGTCATTGATCCACATCCCCAGCCCATTTTATTTTTTTATTTAGAGACAGGGTCTTGCTAAGTTGCTTAGGGCCTCACTAAGTTGCTGAGGCTGGCTTTGAACTTGTGATCCTCCTGCCTCAGCCTCCTGAGCCACTGGGAATACAGGCATGTGCCATCATACCCAGGTAGGCAGAATTTCCATTTGTGTTTACCCACTAAATTCTTTCAAACTACCTCTGCACAGCAAACAGGGACCCCTTTGGTATTTTCAGCTTTCACATGCCTTTAAATTTCCTACCACCAGTATATGCTGATCCAGCAATAACCTAAGCTGCTATCTAAGTTCTAAGAACGGCTCTTTTTTGGCCTGAGATTCCAGTGTCTGGGGACTTAACAGACAGCTAATGGGTCAGGATGATGACAAATGGAGCTCACCAATCTGTTTCTGATTCTGAGAGAAATGGAAAGGAATACTACAGTTGTTTTATGGGACCTATCACACAAATTAAGGATGGTCTCAATCCTTTCTTAACTTCCTTAGGCAACTCATCCATAAATTTATATGACACTACTTCCTGATGTTATCTCCATCATATCAACTCTTGTGTTATCTCCATCATATCAACTCAGGATCTGACTTTCTTAACAAGAGTCCTAAAGTGCAAGAAGTAAAATCAAGAATCAATAAATAGACGTCATCAAACTAAAAAGCTTCTTCACAGTAAAGGAAACAATCAACATGAAGAAAGAGCCTACAGAATGGGAGAAAATCTTTGCCACCTGCACTTCAGATAGAACATTAATCTCCAGGATATATAAAGAACTCAAAAAACTTAACACCAAAAGCAAAAACAACAACAAATAATAGACACTTCACAGAAGAAATACTATAGGTGTTATGGTTTGGATGTGACATGTCCCCCAAAAGTTTACATGTGAGATAAATGCAAGAAGGTTCAGAGGAGTGGGTTGTGAAAATCTTAACCCAATCAGTGAATTAATCCTCTGATAGGGATTAACTGAGTGGTAAATGAAGTGGTAGAGTGTTTCTGGAGGAGGTGGGCATTGGGGATGTGGCTTTGGGGTATATATTTGTATCTGGCAAATGGAGACCTCTCTCTGCTTTCTGATCATCATGTGAGCTGCTTTCCTCTGCCACACTCTTCCTCTGTGATGTTCAGCCTCACTTTGAGCCCTAAGGAATGGAGCTGACTATCTATGGACACAGACCACTGAAACCATGAGCCCTCAAATAAACTGTTCCTCCTCTATCATTGTTCTGGTCAGGTCTTATTCACAACAGTGAAAAAGCTTACTAAAACAACCAGTCAACAAATATGTGAAAAAAAATGTTCAACATCTCTAGCAATTAGAAAAATGCAAATTAAAACTACACTGACATTTCATGTCACTCCAGTCAGAATGGCAATAATCAACAATACAAATAACAATAAATGTTGGTGAGGATGTGGGGAAATGGGTACACTCATACATTGCTGGTGGGACTACAAAATGGTGTCACCACTATGAAAAGCAGTATGGAGATTCCTCAGAAAACTTTGAATGGAACCACTATTTGACCCAGCTACTCCACTCCTTGGTAGGACTTAAAATCAGCATACTACAGTGACAAAACCACATCAATGTTTATAGCAGCTCAATTTACAATAGCCAACCTATGGAACCAACCTAGGTGTCCTTCAATAGATGAATGGATAAAGAAAATGTGGTTTATAGAATATACTCAGCCATAAAAAAGAATGACTTTATGACTTTTGTCAGAAAATAGATGGATCTGGAGACTTTCAACAAAGGTTGAATGTTCTCTCTGATATGTGGATGCTAACATACAACAAGTGATGGGGGGGTGAAGAATAGAAGTTCAGTGGATTAGACAGAGGGGAATGAAGGGAAGGAAGGGGGATATGAAATAGGAAAGATAATAGAATGAATCACAAATAACTTTCTTATGTTCATATATGAATACACGACCAGTGAAACTCCACATGGTGTTCAACCACAAGACTGGGATCCTAATTAGAATAAGATGTACTCCATGTTTAATATATCAATATATACTCTCCTGACATATATATCTAAAAAGAACAAATTTAAGAAACTTCTTGTACAACGTTTAAAAAAAAAAAAGAAGAAGAAGTAGTACAGGAAGTTCCTAATCCCACCAAATGTCTTAGAATAGGAGCCAGAAATGCATGGATTTCCTCTGGGAAGTAGAGCTCCTTATTAGGCTCTTTCCTCTCCCTCAGCCCTACTGGTTAGGAGTAACCTAGAAAAGTGAACACAGGAGCCAACCACAGGATTTTATAGTTACCAGAGAAAGCAAACTGAACTTTTCCTGGAGAGACTAAAAATTGAGTAGAGGAAATGGAACTCCTTTCTCTACCTCTCCTTCCCCAACTTCTGCAACCCTATTCCTCCCTTCCTGTACTCTGACAGCCAACATGTCCTCTCTGTACCAAATGTACATATTATTAAGGAAGACTGAGAAATTTTCAATTCTCCTGTGTTTTAGAAGGGGTTTATCACAGACATCTTCTAATTAACATCTGGATTTAATAAGTTCCTTTTGCCTCAACATCTGCCCCAATCAGTGCCAGGCCTGGCCCTACTAACCCAGGAAACATGGTTGGACCTTGGACCAGGAGAAGAGATCCTTTGGCATTGATTGATAGGTGGCCATACACTCCTTTGCTGTTTTCTGGGGTAAGGACAGATCTTTGGAAAATTAAAACACATTTTGGCTTCATGTTCTCCTTCTGTCAAGTATCTAGACCCAGCACAAAGTAGTTCAGTCAATTTACCCTTTGATCATCCTTTTAATATCTTCCTTTTCTATGGCATGATGATGTTTCCCCACTTCCTTTCCTGTTGATAAGGAAACACTTGAGGAAAGAGACAGAGCAGGACAGTTGTCTTACTGGACAAAGGAAAACACTGGCTGTTATTTGTGAGCATCACCCGGAAGCTATGTAGGCCCAGGTTTCATCAAATAGTTGGTGAAAAGGCTGCTGCTCTGGGGTCAAATACACTCTGAAACTATCTGGGAAGATGTCAGCCTGGAATGCCAGGAAGCTGCATTCAGTCAAAAGCTGGAAAGGCACGTAGTCTTGGGAAATCTCCAGCAGAAGCATCTCTTGGTGGGAAAAGTTGTTCTTGGGGGGAGGCTTCTGTGCCAGGAAGTACTGGCACAGGGCGTGAGACCTCATATTGGCTGTTGAGATTTTAATTCTCTAAGTGTATCAAAGTGGCTTATGTGGCCATTCCTGAGAGTGCTTCTGCAGCTGTTACTTTCCTCAAAAACCTCATCACATAAAAGCTGTTGTGGCCAACATTTTTGTCAACTTGAACGTTCCAGGAGTGGAATTTCAGATATTCCCTGCAGCCCCCCTCCCATGATCCCTTCTGAAATTTGCAATGTCTTAACTTTCATAGAAAAAAGAATGCGGGTTTGGAGGACCTGGGGCATAGCTCAGGGATAGAGCATGTGCTTAGCATGCATGAGGCCCTGGGTTCAATCCTTAGCACTGCACACACACGCACGTGCACACACGCAAACACACACACACACACACACACACACACACAAGTACATGGACTTTGGAATTGAGTCTGAGGTCCTAGCCACACCATAGATTGGCTCTTTGAAGAAGTTCCCCAACTTCTTTGAGTCTCAGTTTCTATGTCTGTAAAATGGGGATAATAGTAATATATACTTTGGTGTATTGTTCCAAGTATTAAATAAAATGATACATGGAAAGTACTTACCACAGTGCCTTTTATATAAAAAGTCTCAATAAATATTAGCTGTCATTTAAATGTTACAGTTTAAGTAGCTGTCAATCATTCCATTGTTTTAGCTAATAAACAGTGCTACTTCTAGGTCTGGGGATGTGGCTCAAGTGGTAGCGCACTCGCCTGGCATGCGTGCGGTTTGATCCTCAGCACCACATACAAACAAAGATGTTGTGTCCACCGAAACTAAAAAATAAATACTAAAAAAAAAAAACAGTGCTATTTCTATTGATAGGCATTGGTTGTTCATATTTACATAACTTGTAGGAATCACATGGTTCAGTGAAAAGCATTCGGGATTGGGGCAGGAATTCTGGGTTCAAGTCTCAACTCTTTCTCCCCACCTCCCCTGGCACCAATTGGACCTGTGGTCTTGACCAAGACATTTCATCTCTCTGAACTTCAGGGTTTTAAAAAATCTAAATTGGGAATAATAGTATCTTTCCTATCCACCTTACAGAGCTATTGAAAGAATCAAATGTACCTCTATGTGCAAAATCATTTTGTAAACTGCAACTTTCTATGCAATACTTGGGAGAGATCATCTTGCTCTCCTTTGATACATGAGAAGATTTAAAAAAAAAAGAAAAAGATGCCCTGGTCTTCAGAGATTTTTTTGTAAAAAAAAATAAAAATGTATTTTGGATGAAGCCATCAGAGGTAACTCAAGAGACATAATAAGAAGGAAGCAACCTTAGGGAAATATAATTGTCATTAGCTGTTATACTTTAGTTATGGAATACCCCCCAATATGTTGAAGTCTCAGAACCCAGCTGGCAGCACTACCAGGAGGTGGTAGGTTCTTTGGGAGTTAGGGCCTAGTTGGAAGAGGTAGGTCACTGGGGTGTGCCTTCAAAGGGTGTATTTTGTTCCTGGATCTTTTCTATTTCTCTCTCTGCTTCTTGGCTGCCATAGGTGAGCAGCTTTGTTCTGCCACACCATCCTCACTGTGATGTTCTGCCTTAGCACAAGCGCACAGTGAAGGGGCTAAGCAACCATGAACTGAAACCTCCAAAACTGGGGGCCAAAATCAATCTTTCCTCCATTTAATTGTTCTTCTCAGGTATTTTGTCACAGCAATGAAAAGCTGACTAACACATTTACCAATACAATAGAAACAGCACTGAGAATCCAGATATTAACCCATTCATCTATAAGCAATCAATTTTCAACAAAGGTGGCAAGAAATTCAGTGGAAAAAGAAGAATCTTTTTAACAATGGTGCTGGGAAAACTGCGCCTTATTTCACACCATACAAAAATTAAGTAAAAATGGACCAAAGGCCTATATAAGACCTAAAACTATAAAACTCTTATTTACACAGGAGTAAATCTTCATGATCTTAGATTACATAATTAGATGTGACACTAAAAAAATGAATATCAAAAGAACTAATGGACAAAACTAAACGTCATCAAAAAAAACATTAAAGTTGTTCATCAATCTGGGCATGGTGGAGCACAGTTCAGGAGGGTGAGGCAGGAGGATTGCAATTTCAGAACCAATATTGGCAACTTAGAAAAAGGAATCTTTATACACTGTTGATGAGAATGTAAATTATTACAGCCACTATTGAAAATAGTATAGGGGTTCCTCAAAAAACTAAAAGTAGTACTTTCATATGATCAACCACTCTTAGTTATACCTGAGGAAAATGAAGTCATCACACAAAAGAGATACCCAGTTTATTATGTTATTGCAGCACTATTCATAATAGCCAAGATAAGGAATCAGCGTAGATGAATGGATAAAGAAAATATGGTGTACATATACACAATAGTATATTATGCAACCATAAAGAAGAATGAAACTTTGTCTTTTGCAGGAAAATGTGTGGAACTGGAAGACATGATGTTAAGCAAAATGAGTCAGACTCAGAAAGACAAGTATTACATATTTTCTCTCATATGTAGAAACAAAAAGATGATCTGAAAGTAGAAAAGAAACTATTAGGAACTAGAAGGGGCTGGTGGGAATGGGAAGAGAGAGAGAAAGGATAGAAATGATGTAGAACAACAGAGAAGGGAAGGTGGACAGGATCAATTCACGATAATACATGCATGGAAATGTCACAGTGAAACTCATTAATTTGTACAATTAATATGTGTTAATAAAAATGGTTAAAAAACGGTTAAAATGATAAATTTTAACACAATAAAAATGTTTCCCATGATTAAAAAAAATGTTATCTAATTCAGTCCTTCCACTTGAATTTCAGACTGTCCATCCTAACTCATCAATAGGGGCACTCTTCGTATATTCATAAGCTAACTCCATAAATCAATGAGTATTCATCTGCTGACTACCAGTCTGTGCTTTAACTTTGGTCCAATACCATTTATTTATTTATTTATTTATTTATTTATTTATTTATTTATTTATTGTGGTGCTAAGGATTGAACCCAGTGCCTTACACGTACTAGGCAAGCATTCTACCACTGAGCTACAGCCCCAATCCCTAATCTATGTTTTTGACATATATAACTGAAGGCTGCTTCTCTTCACAGGATCATTTAACTTTGATATGAGTTTTATTCCAATTGGTCAATTATCTTTATTATAAATTATGTTTTGGTTTACTTTGTAGTTTGTTTACAAACTTAAGTGTTCTAAACACTACATCACTTCAAAAGCCCTTCCAAGTTCCACAACCAATTAAATTAAATACACATTAATTTGAGAATGAAAGAAATGATATGGGCAGAATCTATTAATTTTCCAGTTGTTGATAGATATTATTTGGTTGACAAACCTAAACATAAGAAATGCATATACCCATGCTATTTCATGTTTCAGCTGATTTTTCATATGGATATGTGTCTATCTAACAATACTACATACCCTAACCTTTGAGGTTTTGTGTGTGTGTTTTTTTTTTTTGGGGGGGGGGGTTGCAAGTGTATAGGCTTTGCTTCCCTTAACCATCTCTATTTTTTTAAGTATGAATTTTTTTTTATTTTTTAGTTGTAGTTGAACACAATATTTTATTTATTTATTTATTTTTATGTGGTGCTGAGGATTGAACCCAGGGCCTCACACATGCTAAGTAAGTGCTCTACCACTGAGCCACAACCCCAGCCCCACCATATCTATTTTTATTTTGATAAAATAACCAAGAATATCTGTAAACTATTTTTTCTGACATACTGTCCTGCGTTGCTTATTAATTAAAATGGTGGTGATTATTTGGTTTATAGAATTGGATGGAAAGTGTAAACCACCATGCAAATCAAAAGTTCAGAATGACAGCTCCATCTCCAAACTATCACTCTGACTTCCCTCCTCGTGTTTAGCTACAGCAGGAAAAATTGAACACAAGAAGAAATTATGTCTCTGATGGGTTACCAACCCCATAATGCCCCCTTCAGGAGGGGCCTAATACCTTCTTTGCTGCCAAGATCTTGTGTGATGAAGCCTTCATTTGTGGGTTCATAGGTAGCTCATCATCACCAGACATTTCTTCCAAGTCCTTAGAAATTGTGCCAGAACGGATAAGAGGTGGGCTGATGCTGGGCTGGCGCGGGCGCAGTGGTGGGATCTGACAAAGGGAGGGATAGAAGGGAAAAGTTGGAATGTGTACTTTCCCCTAAGATATTGGTATTTTCTTGTTACTTAATTGCTGAAGGACTAAGAAGCCAAACAAATGGAAAAAAAATAGATAGACCCAGGAAACAATCTCCTACCTCTCTGACCTCACTTCTAGGACCAACTTAAATCAAAGGCTAAGAGCCTTGGTTTATCCTCTGGATTGCTGCACACATTTGACAAACCCCAAACAGAAACTTCACATTGCTTGTTTGATCAAAACTGAATTCTGGTGTTGTCGCATTACTGATGTGAACTACAAATCTTTCTTGATTCTGATCTTTGTTTGAACTTCAGCCATGCCTTTGGAAGCTCAATTCTTATGGAAGTGACTCTTTAGGTTATGATCTGGGATTGGCATCCAAACTACTATCCTTGCTCTTGTTATTCTAGGAATTGTCTAGACTACATCTTGGTTGTTTGTTCCTTATCTTATCTCTGTCCAGATTGATTTTTCTGGGATTTTTTTTAAAGAAAATCTATAGACCTAGGGCTAGAGGAGTCACTCATTAGTAGAGTAGTTACCTAGTATGTGTGAGGCCCTGGGTTCAATCCTCAGGAGAGAGAGAGAGAGAGAGAGAGAGAGAGAGAGAGAGAGAGAGAGAGAAGGAAGAAAGGAAGGGAGGGAAGGAGGGAGGGAGGGAGAAGAGGGAGAAAAAGAGGAATGAAGGAAACAGAAAGGAAAGAAAATCTACAGATCTAGTTCTGTTTTTCTAAGGGAATAAAAATTTGTCATTTGAATTTTCTTTGAGTTTTGGCAGACTAACTTAGCTAATCCCAGTTTGAAGATGATGGGACACTTGACTTCAAGGCACTGTTTTTTTTCCAGGGTCCTCTTGATGTGGTTTAGAATCCATGATTTTATTTTAAACAAATGCTGTATAAGCATCTACAATGTGTTACGCCCAATCCTAGGAGCTGGACCTACAACAACAAACAAAGCAAGATTCTTTCTTTTATGAAGTTAACATGCTTTTTTCTGTTGTAGGCTCTGCCAGGCTCAGGATGCATAACCTTCAGACACTGTAGCCAAAGAAAAATGGCAACAGGGGAGGCTTGCCAAAGTTTTGCCTCTGAGTTTCTTTAGATCAGGGTCTCCAGTGCACCCTTATTACTACCAAGTTCTATTGGGGGCTCTTGAGAAGAGGCCAAATCAACCATCTCCAAACCCAGTACCAATAATAATAATTATAAATAATGACAAATAACTTTTACTAATCAGTTACAATGGGCTTATCTGGGAAAGCTCTCCATATATGTATGTCTTAAAGTTTCACAATTATTTGAGGTATTTGCTAGTCTGGTCTCCATTTTATATATGAAGATAACAAATATTGAGAGATGATGTAATTGGCCCAAATTCTCTCAGTGGCAGGGCACGCATTTGAAAGGTCTGTCCAGCTTGAGAGCCTGTGTTCTTAACCACTCTAGTCTTTGTGCACACTAGTGTGTGACCTATAAGAGCTGGGAAGGGGAGATCCCATACAGAAGGCCAAGTTAAAAAGAATCAACCAGAACAGATGGTGTGCCTGCCTCCTTAAGAAGAGCCACAGAGGCAAATTGGGCCTGAGAATAATAAGCAACACTGATTTGTAGTCTTGGTTTCTTAAATAACTGAATTCAATTTGATTACATAGCAGAAAGATACTATTAATATGCTGTCACATCTTCTTAACCATGTGTGCTCAAATAAAGAGAACAGAAAATGCCTTAGAGAATAATCTATGAATCCATATTCCTAACACTTCAGAGAAGGCATCAGGTAAATATCTTGCAGGGAATAAAATTGTCTCAGTCTTGGTATTTCTGACTCAACTACAAACCTAAATTTCCTCTCTCAGAAGCCTCTAATTGCAATCAGGTGTGGTGGCACATACCTGTAATCCCAGCCGCTCAGGAGATTGAGGCAGGAGGATCATGAGTTCAAAGCCAGCCTCAGTAATTTATCAAGGTCCCAAGCAAATCAGTGAGATCCTGTCTCTAAATAAAATATGAAAATGGCTAGGAAAGCCTGGGGTTGTGGCTCAGTGGTAGAGTGCTTGCCTAGCATGTGTGAGGCACTGGGCTCAATTTTCAGCATCACATAAACAATAAAATAAAAGTCCATTGGTAATTTAAAAAAATTTAGAAAAAAAGGCTAGAAATATGGCTCAATGTTTAAGTACCCCTGGGCTCAATCGTTGGTACAAAAAAAAAGCCTCTAGTTACTCAAAATGTCTTCTATAATTCATTATGGGGAAGGCCCCTTCAAGGGACTCAGCCACTGGCCAATTCCCTACTTGCCCCAGCTTCTATGTAGCACTGGGTGTCAGGAACCTTGGCTTAATGCTATCAACTACCCTGCATTTAGAGTTGTCGCATTGGCACTTAACTGGAAGTTTCCCATGTAAAGGTCAATATAATTGTTGATGGCTCAGGATTTATTGACATCCTCTGCTGTCTTCAGTCCTGTTTACCAGCAGAAAGCCTAAGGGAACAGGCCAAGGTCCTAAGCATTGGCCCAAACCAAACATTAAAGAAAACCTGCCTTTGGGCTACTGTGACTGTAGTTTCCCCCACCCACTTCACGGTGAGAAGCAATGCCCCTAGAATCTTTGTTCCTTAATTTTCACACACACAAAAAAAAATCACTCTTTGAAAAAAAATGGAATATCTCTGTTGTGTGGGACTCTCAGTTTCTGGGATTAAGAAAGGAGGCAGAAACTGGGTGCAGTGGTTTATGCTTGTAATCCCAGAAGCACAAGAGGCTGAGTCAGGAGGATCATGAGTTCAAAGCCAGCCTCAGCAAAAGCAAGGCACTAAGCAACTCAGTGAGACCCTGTCTCTAAATAAAATACAAAATAGGGCTGGGGATGTGGCTCAGTGGTGGAGTGCCCAGAGTTCAATTTCCTGTACCAAAGAGAGTGAGAGGGGAGAGAGAGAG